GGCTTGCTAGTTTCTCTGTTGGATTTCAAAGACGAAGAACCCATCCCTTTTCTGCACCTATCCTGAGTCATTCTTACCTAAGAGGAGCCTGAGCGTCATTGTTTATTTAGTTTGTGCTGGCTGCATACATCAGCAGTGCAGAGTAGGAAGAGACCCAGCCTCTCCTTCACTTTACTGGCAAGGAACTGAGGCCCAGAGGGGGGCAGAGACTCCCCTAAGGTCCAGTGGCCCAGAGAGAGTAAGGCAGCAGAACCCCCGGCTGCAGGCTGCAGGCTGCAGAACCCCCGGCCAGCACTCCCTTTCCCCTGCATACGCCCCCCGCCCCCCCGCCCTCGCCCCATCTCATCTGGACTTGCCATGGTAACCAACCCTCCTTCAGCAGTGGGAAGCAAAGGCTGCCCAGCAGTTACCTAGCAACCCCCAATAACCGGGCAAGAACGGGGGAGGGAGGCACCAGGCGCTGCCCACCCTGGGGAGTTCCGACCTGTCCAAATGGGATTGCCCACATCAGAAAGTGTGTCCACAAACGACCCTGGGTAGAGCCATACCTGGAAGAACCTGCACTGGGGGGGCTCAGGCCGGGGTCAGTGAGTTGCTGGGACTAGACACGTATCTGGCCGGCTGGGGCCTCTGTCCCCACGGCAGACGCAGGGCCTCATTATGTGCAGTTCCGGCATCTGTGCACGGCACGGGCTCGGTCCCCACTGACGCGCTGGCTTCATCTGCATGATGGGGATCCAAAGACGAGGGCTCACGGGTGTGTGTGTGTGTGTGTGTGTGTGTGTGTTTCTGCGTGTCCAAGTGGGCGTTTCAGCTCAGAGGGGCAACGCCGCGGAGCTGTGCACCCTCACCTGCCATCGCATTCCTTGACTGTCTCAAGAAAGGTTTATGGAGTGATTGGTCCTTTAATACGTGAACCTTCTAATATTCCCTGTAGGCTGGCTCTTGGCAGCCACTGCCCACCAACACCCTACCCTCACCGCTTCTTTCTTGTGGGCAGAACCCCGCCTGGGTTCCCAGGTTCTGTCTCCTGCAGGGGCCCGCCCATTGGTCTAAGGCAACCGGAGCGGTCTTATTCTCTAGGAAATGGTTGGCTTAGGGGCGGCCTGTGGCCCAGTCATCGCCAATGGGATCTGCGGGGGCGGCTGTGGACGGACTCCCGGGGAAGGTCTTTCCGCAGTATTGGAGACTGGGAAGGAATGCCTCTCTTCTTCACTGGGCGTTGTCAGTCTGCACGTGACGTCTGGAACTGCCACAGCCCCCGAGACGTCACTGACACAGAGGAAGGTGTTGCTGAGCCACGGAACTCAGCAAGCCGGGAACTGCCCTCTTTCCGAACTTCCTGTGTGGACGAGCATCAACCCTCGTGTAGGGTTCTCCCGCTCAGGGTTCCGTTTTCTCGCAGGCAGAAGCCTCCTGACTGATATACTCTTGTCCTCGTGGCCTCGAGTTCACTCACTTTACACTCGTCCGAGCGGGGCCCTCGGCAGGTGCCTGGTCGAGGCGTGGTATTAAAGGTCAAGGACACAAAGGAAACCCTCTTCCTGAATGAACCAAAGATACGACTCCTTGGTCCTTCATATCCTGGGTTGGAACTGAAATGGGATCTGCAGCTGTGTGGCCAGCTTCTTGCAGGTGAGGATAGATTCCTTCTCAATGAGCCCGAAGGTTTCTCTTATATTCCTGGTGTTTTCCTTCCTTCCTCCCTTCTTCCTTCTATCCCTCCTTCCTTCCCTCCCTTCCTTCCTTCCCTCCCCCTTCCTTTCCTCCCCCCTCCCTCCCTTCCCTCCTCCCCTCCCTCCCTCCCTTCCCTCCTTCCTTCCCTCCCTCCCCCCTTCCTTCCCTCCCTCCCTCCCTTCCCTCCTCCCTCCCTCCCTCCCTCCCTCCCCTCCTTCCTTCCCTCCCTCCCCCCCTTCCTTCCCTCCCTCCCTCCCTCCCTCCCTCCCTCCCTCCCCTCCCTTCCTTCCCTCCCTCCCCCCCTTCCTTCCCTCCTCCCTCCCTCCCTCCCTCCTTCCCTTCCCTCCCCCCTTCCTTCCCTCCTCCCTCCCTCCCTCCCCTCCTTCCTTCCCTCCCTCCCCCCTTCCTTCCCTCCCTCCCTTCCTTCCTCCCTCCCTTCCTTCTGTATGCTGGAGCTGGTTCTTAGCGGCTCCTAAGAGCCAACTGTGCACGTACGTCTCTTCCACACTCCGAGTTCAGCAATGTCACGTTAGTAGCTTGCAATCAGCCATGGTGGGAGGTGGGGTTTTTTTTTTTATACACTTAATTTGTTTTAGAGCAGTTTTAGGTTCACAGCAAAACTGAGCAGCTGATAGAGGCTTTCCTTATACTCCCTGTCCTCTGACATGCATAATCTCCCACATTCTCAACACTTCCCACCAGAGTGGTTCATTAGTTGAAAACTGATGAACCCACATCAACACACTATTTTCACCCCAAGTCCGCTGTTGACGCCAGCGTTCATTCTCGGTGGTGTGCGTGCTGTGGGTTTTGACAAATGCATACTGACCCGCAGCCACCACTGTGTCATCACAGAGAGCAGTCTCACCGCCCTGAACATCCTCTGTGTGTCACCTGTTGTCCCCTCCCACCCTTGGCAACCTTTGATCTTTTTACTGTCTCTTTAGTTGTTGTTGTTGTTTTCTCAGAAGGTCATATAGTTGGAATCACACAGTGTGTATGTAGCCTTTTTAGATTGGCTTCTCTCACCCAGTGACTGGCATTTAAAGTTCTTCCATGTCTTTTCATGGCTTGATAGGTCCTTTGTTTTTAGTGCTGAAGGATCTTCCATTGTCTGGATACCTCGGAGTTTATGTGTCCACTCACTGACTGCAGGACTTCTTGGTTGCTTCCGAGCGTTGGCAATCCTCAGCACAGCCGCTCTGCACACTCACGTGCACGTTTTGTGTGCACATGAGTTTTCAGCTCCTTTGAGTAAATGCCAAGGAGCACAATTGCTGGATCATACGTTAGGACTATGTTTGGTTTTGTGAGAAACTGCCAAACTGTCTTCCCAAGTGGCTGCACCGTTTTGCATTTCACTCACAGCGAACGGGCATTCCTGTTGCTCCGCGTCCTCGGCAGCGTTCGGCGCTGTCGGTGTTCTGGACCTTGGATTTCCCACGAGATGTGCAGTGGTACCCGTTGTCACAATCTGCCTTTCCCAGGGACATGTGACGGCGAACGTCTTTCCATATGCCTCCTTGCAGTCTCACATCTTCAGAGGCTGTCTGTGCAAGCCTTTTGCCCATTTTAACATCAGGTTGCTCACCTTCTTGTTGTTGAGTCTGAACAGTTCTTTGCATGTTTTGGAAAACAGTCTCTTGTCAGATACGTCTTTCACAAATATCGTCTCCCATTCTGTGGCTTGGGTTCTCATTCTCTTGACATGTGGTAGAAATATTCACATCACACACTTGGCATCGCCACACAACAAATGAGGGCTGTCCACCAGAGAGCCCCTTGCTAAACCTTTACCAGCACACGCGCCCGTGTATTCAGGCACGTACCATTTATTGGGTGGACTCTCTTCCTTGCCCTCAAAAAATATTCAGTCCGGTGAAGGAGGCAGGTCAATGAATTCCCGACTCTGGTGCAGAGTCCTGCGTCTCAGGACAGACACGGAACAAGGATGCTACAGGAATGTGAAGGAGGGGCAGCTGTATCAGCCATGAAATTGGGATGGCTTCCCAGTGTGGAGCTTGAGCCTTGAGCTAAGCATTTCAAAGTGAGCAGCAGCTGTCTGGATCAACACTGCCCACTGAGGTAGCCTGCCACTTGCCACATGATGCTGTGAACTCCCACTAGCCGCACTGCAAGCACCTGATAGGCACACGTGGCTACAGGCTACCCCAGCAGACCGAGCAAACACGTCTGAGACAGTCCTATTGGACAAGAAAGTGAGAGAAAGGCGGAAGGAACAGAATGGGAAGACACAGAGGTCTGAGAACGTGACTCACTCTGGGGAGGGGTAGGAGCTGCGGCTGAACAAACACACAGCAGTCAGATCACAAAATGTCCTCGGTGCGGAAACCTAGGAGTTCAAACTCTAGTGTGAAAGCTCTGCGGAGTCCCTGAAGGCTTTCAAGCAGAAGCCTGATGTCATCTGCTTTGCATGTTAATAAGGTTCTCCGGCAGTCAGGCTGACGAGGGGGGGCCACCCAGGAGGCGGGGAGCCCAGTTCTGAGACTGTCCCTGGGAGAGCTGTGAGAGGCATTAGAAATGAGGCACTGACCGCCGGATGCAGAGAGAGGGCAGAGTCAGGAGATGGGAAGGCCCCAGGGCTGACTGTGCCTGGCCCCTGGGAGGTGCTTTGTAAACATCTGTTGACTTAATGAATTGGTTCTAGCCGAGCCCAGATTGGACAAATGGGTGCACTTCCCCTCGGCCCTAGCTGGTATGTCTATCGCACAAATGAACAGGTAGAGGGAAATTCCTTTTCAGCCAAAGGGGAAAGGGGAAATAATGAGAGAGACAGACAAAGGAGATGTAGGGGAAGGTGACATCTGTCCTGTTGATGTCCCTGGTGACAAGGGAACAAGCTATGATTGTGAAAGACTGTGAGGGACCTCTTTGGGACCCAGGGACAAGAGCTACCAGAGTTGGGTGCAGGCCACTCTCCACCCCACCCCTTCCCTAACCCCTTGCCGCACGGATGCGGGGCAGCTTCGGTTTCCTGGAGGAGCCGGCCAGCTTCCCAGCAGACAGAGACGCGATGCACAGCAGGTCCACAGTACAGGAAAGGCATCAGCTGGGAATGTTCGAGGCAACCGCACGTGGCCGGAGTAGGAGACAGACATAAGCAGGCCGATACTTCAATACGTGAGAAGCACCAGCCTCCCACTCACTCTTGGAGTCTCAGAAGAAACTAGAGATTCTGAGGGCAGGTGGCTAAAACCTACCATAGCTTGGGCACCGGTGTCAGTATCAGCTTGTTTGCACCTACGGGTCTATAATGAAGGGAGCATGTGGGTTACGGAATGAATGGCACAGGTGACATGAGGCGGGTTTCACTCGTTCGTTCCTTTATTGAGCCTCTGCCTGCCATGCACAGTGCTGGACGCGGGGCACACGGCAGGGGACGGAACAGATGGGCCCTGCCCCCAGCGGGCGTACAGTCTGGTGGTCCTCCACATCAGCCCGGCACCGCCACCCCCACGAGACGGTCTAATGGGAAGGGTCACTTCAGGTCAGGGGTCAGAAAAGAACAATTTGAGAGAGTGACATTTAAACCAAGCCCTGGAGACGCATGGAAGTTAGCCAGGTGAAGGACAGGGGGTGTGCATTCCAGGAGGAAGGGACAGCAGGTGCGAAGGACTTGGGGACAAGCCCTGGGCCATCCGGAGGCGGAGAGACAGCCAGTGGGGCAGGGGCACAGGAGGGGGCTGGAGAGGGAGGCACAGGCCAGACCTCACAGGGCCACGCTGGGACTTGGCATTTCAACTCAAGTGCGCCGGGCAGGGGAGTGATGCGATCAGATTTCTGTGTGCCGAAGATCGCTCCGGCATCGGTGTGCAGAAAGGAGTGGGGACAGGCGGGCACGCAGGGAGGAAAGTGGAGGCTAATGCAGGTGCCGGGGAGACAGCCGGCGCTGGCACTGGCATGGCCGCGGTGACGGCCAGAAGTGGAGGAGCTGGATCAGGACTCGGAAGAATTGACACTGTGCTTCCCCCGTGCCCTTGCCCGGCTGTGGAGAGGCTGAGGTGCTGGCTTTAGACGAGACGAACAGCAGATGTCCTCACCCGGCCGACCCGTCTCCACCTCCCCCACCCCCCGCCGTCTGTCCTGCTCTGGGCCAGCGCAGGCCTGATGACGTCACACGAGCCACCCCGTCTCCTGGCAAGCCCACGCCTGACGGGAATCGACTCTGTGTTTACAGATTTCCTGAGAAAGCTTTCGCAACCTCTGCTCACGTTTAAAATAATTACTAGTAGGAAATCCCGGTTTCTACTTCACCTGAATGCCTCTCACCCTACAGTTTCCTGACTCCTGATGGAGAGGGTGATGCTAAAAGAATAAGGCACCTGGGCAGATGTGACATCATAATGACGGTTCTGAATCACGTCCGTCTCCCCCACAGCCACAGCCACCCATTCGTTAGCAACAAAGAGAGGTGCCCCAGAAAAGGGATCCAATTTAATTTTTGCGGCTTGCTTGCTGTCAAGTTCTTTGCCCTTGCTGCCCAAAGTATGGTCCTGGACGCAGGAACCTAACTTTGGAGACGGGTGGAAGCGCAGACCCGAATCAGGACGCGCGTGCTAACACGCTCCGCAGACCACTCACGGGCACACTTATTTTGAGAAGCGCCCTGGCCTCAGACGGCCCCGGGGCCGCCGAGAAGCGGGCGGGCAGGGCAGTGCCAGATCTTAGAAATGCAGCGAGCAGCGAGCCTCGGCAAGCAGGGAGGGAAACCGAACTGGTCCAACAGGAACTGGGTTTTCTCTGGAAGTTCCCTGCTCCCAAGTCACACGGGGCATTTCTGCCGAATTCAGAGGCAGTGTGCTGTTTCCTGGCCGTGTGCCTGGCGAGCGACGCTGGGTGGGTGAGCCCCTGGTGCGGGGATGCTGTCAGGTGGGCAGCGCCGTGCAGGTGCCCCCGCGGACAGCACCAGAGGCCACGCAGAGCCAGCTGCCCCTCCCCCAGCATGGACGGTTTGGTCCCTGTCCTCTTAGCTTGGTCCCTAAGGGCCCTTGTTCTCTGGGCGATCAGGGTGACATCTGCCTCCTTCTGCACTGAGCCACGCGATGAGCAGGCTCTTTTCCCCCCTCAGTGAAAACTGTTCCCGCGGTGGCCTCAGGTGGGACAGAGGGCCCAGTCGGGGGTCCCGAAAGCCCCGCCCACACTGTGTGGCCAGCCTCTGCAGACCCCGGACCCTGCCCCTCCTGGGGGGCGTGCCACCAGGCGCCAGGCACAGCCCCACAACAAGGGCCCTTGTTTTGTTACTGCTTCCTTGAGAAGTGATTCAAGGCATGGAATCCAGGCCAGAACCAAGTCATTTCACTCTGCCCTCACTGGGGCCGATCCTCCCACGCACTCGGACAAATGGATCGAGCTGGTGGGCTGTTTACAGCACATGGTTTAAATACCATGTAAATCAAGCATTCACGCTGGCTTTCATTTACCGTACCACGTTCGCAACACCCAGCGCCAAACGCCCGATTCAGCCTCCTTTGCCTTTGTTCTCTGGTCCTCATTCCCGTGGCGACGCTGCCCCCGACCCGCTGGTGTCCGTCTCTCTGCTCCAGGTCCTCCTCCCCACCTGCCTCTGCGCCCCTCCCGGTGCCTCTGCCTGAGACTCCGGCGCCCCCTCGCCTGCCCACTTAGCCTCTGGCTCCCTTCCTCCCTCTGCGCCTCTCTCGCCGCTCCTTCCTCTTTTGAAATGTCCTCTGGCTGCTAGACGACCCTCGCTCACACTCGGCTTCCCCTCCTCTCTCCGGCTCTTGTCTCTCCCTTCCTCGGTCTCACCACGGAGTCCCTTCTCTTCCTGTTTTTCTCCGAAGGTGACACGGGGATCAGAGAATCTTAGAACTCGGAGCCAGAGAGACGCAGCCTACGTTACACTGACAGTTACTTCTGAGTTGCAAACTCTTTTTCTTACATCCTCACCTTTGATGGTGGCTGCCCCCGTCCCTCCCTAGAGCAGGAAGGGCTGGGGCGGAAGGAACAGACCCCCCTTCACCCCACAGGCCCCCTCACTGACACTCTGGCCCCAACCTCTCCTTTCACGTCTCAGAACTCTCTCTCTCTCTTTCTCCCCCTCCCCCCACCTTCTAGGTGTCCTCGGTGCAGATGCGTGCGCCCGAGCTCCCCCATGACGCTGAGCTTCCTTCTCCAGTGCCCCTTGTCCCTGGCCAGGCTAGGATGAGCACTGGGAAACACAGTTCCGTTTTGAGGTGCTGAGGGCAGACAGATCGCCATGGGGCTGTTCTCCCCAGGTGCAGCTCTTGGGCGGGGAAGGTGCCAGAAGAGGTCCAGTGGTCAGGGAAACAAGAAGCTCATCTGAAAGCCGGGTCCCACCCAGGGTCACGGTCCACCAACCCATCAGCCAATCACCAGTGAGCGCTGCTGGGGAGCGGGCTTCTCTGTGCGCCACTGGGCAAAGCAGCTCCGGACGGACGCGGGGAACCCGGACGGAGAGCATGTAGAGCCCCAAGGAGGCACCTCTGCAACCACACAACACTGACTCTGACGCCTGGCTCTCTCGGCCGAGGCTCCTCCGGGCACTTTCCAGGATCTAGGACGCCACTTTCTCAGAAGCTGGGGACCTGGAGGTTACACCCAAGTGGGCCACCGGGAGACTTGTGAAAAAAACCCCTCCATTTCCCAGTGCTCGGCTTCTCGCAGTGTCCCCACTTCTGGGTGTCGGCCACAGGAAGGGGACCGGCCAAAGAGCGAGTCTTTCGAAAGAGACGCAGGTCCTGGCCTTGCCCGGCCTCGGGGTGCCTGTGCTCCGGCCCTGCCCTCACACCCTGGCCGCTCAGGCTCAGACTTGTGGGGCTGCACCCTCGTTCTCCACCCGGCAGTGCTCGCCCTTGCAGAACGGGGGCAGAGCGGCCCTGCACACCCTCCAGAGGAGCAGGGCTCCCAGGTGAGCTAGACATGCCCTGCCAAGTCCAGCCGCACCCCGCTGCTCTGCAGCCAGCGCCGGGGTGGGGCCTCTGATGAGCTGCCCAGTGACGACTCCCAGGACCGGCGTGGGGGGGTGGGGGAGTGGTGCCGTCTCTAGAACAGGAGGAATCTCGGTTCCCTGCCCCCACTCCCAGTCCCCCCCACCGTCTGCACCCCGCGGAGGGGAGTAGAAAAACAAGTATGAATATAAGCCTCCACCTGCGTTACTTTCACATCAGCTAATTAACCAACTAAACTGTCAATAAATTACTGTCATAAAATGTGTGTATACATGGGCACACGTGTGTGTGGACGTAGTTGTCTTCCTTGCTCGCGCCTGTGCAGGCAGCTTCGGACAAAGCCTCCGGCCCCTCCAGAAGGGATTCATCGGATCATGGGTGCCACGTAGTTGGCGGGGAAGAGGCCCAGTTGGTTGTGCAGGCGGCCGGTCCACCAGTACAGGTTGGAGCTATCCAGGACCTCGATCACCTCTCCGGAGCGGAACCCCAGTTCGTCCTCCTCGAGGGCCTCGAAGTCGTACAGCGCCCGGGCCCACCGCACTCGCTGTTGGGGCAAAACACAGAGGGGTCCCGCTAAGCCGGGGCTGGCCGGGCCGGCTCTGGGACCAGCACATGGAAGAGACTCTGCTAGCTCTGGCATGGAGACAAAGTCCTCCGCCAGCAGCCTGCCCTGGAGGCCGCTGTGTGGCCCTCCAGAGACACCTCGAACCCCGCTGCCGCTGAGAGCAGACACCGGCTGCACAGCCAGGCGTGAAGTTAGCGGAGCCCTTCAGGGTCCCTCCTGAGACTCAGGACTTGGGCTGACAGAGATGAAACTCTCCCAGCCCCAGGAGAATCCTTGAGAACTACTCTCCCCTCATCGACAGGTGGCCCTTTTACTGTCTTCAAGTGACGACCAGAATGGCAGGGTGCCCAAACTCACAGCCCCTGGTACTGGCACAGCCGGGGCAGGATGGCACTCGGCGACCTCTCCACGAGAAGCAGAGCCGGGAAACGTGAGGAGGACAGGGCAAGGCCGTCGGCCCAACGAGAACATGGCTGGTGGTGTCGGGCTGGGACCACCCCACCCCAGGGCACTCCCCCACCCCACCCCCGCTGCCCTTCACTCTCTGGGTTCCCGCCACTGCTAGTAGAGCCCCTCGGACCTTGACGTCGCTCCTGGAGGAACAACCGTTTCTCTAGTTACCCAGCCGGCAGCCTCCAGTGACCCAGAGGGGGGGAGTTCACGTACCCCAGCCACCTGGAGCTGCACCGGGTCTGTGTGCCTGCGGTGCATGAGGGCCACGCTCATCTCGCCACCCAGGCCTATGCCGCAGTGCCCGTCGTTTATGTCAAGGCTGCCTCCGCGGCGGTCCTGGAGACAGACGCAAGAGAGGCCCCGTCACCACGTGGCCAGAAGCATCCCTCCCAGTCTCCCCCAGTGCCTGGCTCGGATGCCATAAACACGGCCAGTGTTCCAGAATACTTGCTGATGCTGACAGTAAACCCCAGGGGGTGGCAAGAGGAGGAAGTGTGACGAAGGGACCCTAGAGTCTGAAGGCAAAGTCGATGGCAGGTCTCACTCACTCACGAACTGCTCAGCAGGCACCTAACGTGTGTCTAGTGTCGTCTAAGCAGCGGGGATATGCAGCGGAAAGAGAAGGTCCCTTGTCTCCGTGGAGCGTCAGTCAGAGGGGACGTCATGCACATTGAAGTGATAAGTGAGCAGCAGAGAGAGGAGTGGCTGAGTCTGCCTGGGCAATCAGGGAAGACTTCACAGAGGAAGTGATCGTTGAACTCCAGCTTAAAGGACCGGCCAGGAGAGACTTCCAGGCAGAGGGGAGAGCACATAAAGGCCTCGAGGGCATGAAAGCAGCAGCAGTGGACCCTCCTGCCAACTAGAGGTAGTGTGGCATTGCGGGCAGCAGGGTTTGTGTGGGCGCAGAGGGGGGCAGCGGGACATGAGGCTGGGGCACCAGACGCGAGCAGCTCACAAAGGACTCGGGGTGCCCTGCTAAGGAGTTCAGGAGCGATGCTATCTGGCATATTGGCCATCTCGGTAAGCCGCCTAAAGTCCCATCTGGAACAAGGCAGGGAGCGGGTGTGGATAACTAACGAACTAAATAAATAAATAAGCAAGGCTCTGGTGGCAGGTGTTAATCCGCTTTTCTTGTCGATCTCTGGCAGCCAGGTGGGTTGAGCAGCAGGAGTAGATTTGAAATTGTGCTGATAGGAAAACCGGCCATTGTCGGCCGAGCCCTCGGAGGGAGATGGAGCGCGCACGCGCGTTCAGGCAGGCAGCCGTCCGGCTCGCGGAGGCTGCTTTGCCCGGGCACGCTCCCTAGCCTACTTCTGCCATTTGGGGAGCCTGGGATCTTCTTTCCGAGCGCAGTGGGACCGGAGGAGGCGGGGCCGGGCCAGCAGCCCCGGGACCACAGCAGCACCCCAGCATGGTGGGGTGCTTCCCCGCAGGAAGAGGTGGTGGGAACAAAGTGTCCCCAGCCTCCAGGGGAAGGGTGCCCTGCCCCATCCTTCCCAGGTACCTGATGAAAATGGTGATGCAGCGCGTACCGCTGCTGCTGCTGCTGCAGCGGCGGGACTAGGGGGTACTGCGAGGGAGGGGGCGGCGGGTGATCCGACAGCTTCCGGTTCATCAAAGGCCGCATCTCTTCCCCCACAGCCCCACTGAGGTGTGGGCTTCCCTGGGCCCTCTGGTCCAGGCTGTTGCTCCTGCGACCCTGGGAGAGAACAAAGATGATTGGATCTGTCCTCCTCCCACATCTCCTGGCCAGCCCCCGCCACCCCCCTCCCCGCTCAGGCAGCTGTTCCCAGACTCTGCTCATGACAGCTCTGAGAAACGGCTGATGGGTGGGGGCAGCTCCACGAGAACCCACAGTTCAGACCCTCCGCGTTCTCCGATTCTCCCAAATTGGAGACGTCAGGTCTCTGGGTCACAGACTGACACTTTCCACATGGTGTCCGTTTGGTCCATTCCCAGGGGGCTGCTTGTTCTCTGTGTAATCAAGCTTAGATGTCCTATTTTACTGACACAATGCCACCCCTCCTTATCGCCTGTCGCCACACTGCCGGACATCCTGCCCTCCAGATACGCCCTGCTATGGCCTTTGCATGATTTTGAACTGTCGTTTAGAGCCTGGTGAGAGAGACCACAACGCAACAGTCTTGCAGCACCATGGAAACCAGGCCTGCACTGGGCCTGCTGGGAGGAGCAAGGCCGTCTTCATGCTACAGCCGCTTCAGGAGACGGAGGGAGTTATTTTTATTTATCAGTTTGGAGAGCCCGGGGCTGAGTTACTACATGCCAGGCACTACTCTAAGCACTTTAGAGAGATGAACTCATTTAATCCAGTTTAAGGCAGTTTTAAGTTGCCTTTTCTTATCTCCGCATGTACACCCTAGTAATGAATACCTCTGTCCACTTCCTGGTTACAACACTCGGTTAACCTTTGTATTTCTTTCTGAACTTCTGTGTGTACTTGACGGGAACGCCCTTTTCTCCTTTGACTGTGACTTCTCAGGCTTAAAATCAGCTGATACCTTGAAAGGTGATGGCTTGCTTCATTTCCCCAAAGCACGTGTTGCTTTGAAAGTCTCAATGCCTTTTCAAATAGCCGGGCCCTGGGACTGCAACTGCTCCAGTCAATGCCCTTCCGAGACCTGTCTCCTAGGCCGCGTCATTTCCTTTGAACGGCATTTTACACATCCTGTGTGGATGCGTGTGTGTGTGTGTGTGTGTGTGTGTATGTGTGTGTGTGTGTGGACTGACTTATGGAAGGCAAGTTAGTATCTCCTCTGAGCCCGCTGTGGGCCAGACTCCATGGCAAGTGCTGTAACTGTATTTTCCCATTCGACTGTCACAGCAGCCCAGGGATGGAAATACTACATCCCCCCCATTCTACAGATGGGAAAACTGGTCCTCGGAAAGGTTCTCTTCCCTTGGCTAGGTGATGAGGAGAGCTGGCGATAAAATCAGGACTTAAAGCCAGGTCTGTCCCATGCCTTTTCTAGGAAAATGATACTCTGCCTTCCCAATGCTTCCAAGAGCAAGAATTCCGGGGCAAGTTTTCTTCTCCTGCAACGCCTCCACCCCACCCCGAATCCTGTCATAAAGCTCTAGCGAGGCCGCAGACTGTGACGTGGTCACGACGGTGACAAAAGAATGGCACCCACAATCAGGGCTCCTGTGCACTGAGCGCTTGCAGTGCGACCAGGATGATGTGCGAGAAGGGGACACATCCCTTCCCCCTCACAGCCGTCCCACGAGGCAGAGGTCCCTGTCCCCCCAGTGTCATGGAACGGGACACGGGGGATCGGAGGACTTCCCCAAGTCGCACAGCCAGGCAGTGCTCAGCTTCGACTGAGGCTGAGCCCCGGCTGCGGCTGCGGAGCTAGTCTACCTTTCCGAAGCCTCGGGCACCTGCCTATCCAATGCGCCGCCTGGTGGTTGGTGGGAGGCCGCGGCTGCCTCGTCCAGTCTCTAGTCTCTAGTCTCTAGTCTCTAGACGGGGCGGCTTGGGGGCGGAAGCGTACCGGGTCCTCTCGCGTTCTGTCCCGCAGGAAGATCTGCTTCTGTTTGGAGATGGAAGTCGTCCTGTAGTAGTCCACCAGCTTATTCAGGGATGGAAACTTCTCTGTCCATAGGAAGTAATTACCCTTGTTGTCTCGCATGACCTTGAAGTGCTGAACATCATCCTCGTGCCTAGAGATCAAGGCAAATCCAAACGGTGTGTTACTCGGTGGCAGCGTCCCCGCCCTCAGGGCTGCCGGCATCCAGCGAGGGCAGTTCCCGGGGCAGGGCAGGAGGAGTGGGTGGCTCCCTAATTACTGGGCTCCAGGGGCAGATCTGGGACAGGTCCGCTCAGGACACGGGCTGCGCTAGAGCAGAAGTAATTTGTCTTCTGACACTGGAGCCGATCTTTTATAAGAAATGTTCTGAGAGCTTTAAAGACTATGAGGTCAAGGACCTTTTAACAATGTTTATCTGAAACGCGGCAACCCTTGAGTCCTGTGCTGGCTAAGGGCTCTGCCAAGACTCAGGGGGAGGGGTTCCCAAGCCCTTGTTATCTCTCTGTTATCAGAAACACTTGGAACCAGCTCCTTCAAGCCCAGAGACTTGTTCTGGACAGTAAGACACTGCCTTGAGAAACTTGTCACACTTTGTTCTCTATCTAGATCTCTTGGTCTTGATTTATGTTTTGCATAAATAAGGTGGCAGAGCATTTGGAACTTTTGAGGAAAGAAGTATTGTATAGAAGTGTAGGGTTTTAATTGGAAAGGACTTCAGAGATTGTTTATCTTGATGTCTCCCTGTTACAGCTGAGGAAACAGATGGAGGGCCTTGGTCAAGGTCACCACAGGTGAAAGGCAGAGCTGAGGCAAGAGCCCTGGGTCTCTGGCTCCAGCCTGCCACACCATGCGCACGCGCTGACTGCTTTTAGATGGGCGTCTTTGGACACCAGCGGGACTCACAAGGGACTGGGCACATCGGTAGCAGGGCTGCAGAGATGGGATTTTATTCATCGGGAAGGGGGGCCCTGGGCCTTTATTAATACCTCCAAGTCATTCTCTTTAGGGCATCAAGTTTACTTGTGAAATGGACATACATTTATATCTAAAAATTAACTGACGTTCATTGTACCAATTGCCTGACCCAAAAAGCCAAGGACTTAAAGAGTGTTGGAGAGTAAAGGTACCTGAAGGTTAGCGGAGGTTTCTGAGGGGTGGATGGAGTGGTCTGTGTGCAGAGGGGACAGGAATTCTGATCGGCAGCCTCATTTATGAGCTGGGCTCCGCTCGAGGCCAGGTGACCCACGCGGTGACCTCTGCCACACCGCTCGGGGGCAGCACCCAGCACGCTGCAATCGCCGTGCGGCCTTCGCCTTGGTTTTGGCCGTTAACAGATGTTCTCTTCACTCGAACACCACATGGCTTGACTCACAGTCATCACCCCTCACGTTCGGGTGAGGAGGAGGAAATATCCTTGTGGTGTAATTATTCACCCACCCTCACTGGCTGAAGAACACAGAGTGAGAAGCATTAACCCTTTCACTCTCATGAGCTGAGAGGGTGGATGCGGGGTTGCACTTGGTCACCGGCACCGACAGAGAGTGCTCTGAGAGGGGCAGAGAAAAGGCTACAACCCAGTGCTCTGGACACTGGAGTCCAATGTTTCAGACCCTTATCAAACGCTAAGGGATGAAACCACAGTTAGCTCTTAATTGTCTGTGCTCGTGACAGAAAGCAGATGTATAAATGAATTAAAATGATGTCACTCTGGAATACATTATACTACATTTCTGTGGAGTATGTGGTAATGACTAGGGTAATAATCACTGTACAAGAAGCTGCATTGCCTCAGTAGCAGGGGAAGACTCTGGCGGAAGTCAGAGCTGACCGTTTTGTAGAATCCACTTTAATCAAGGAAATATAAACTGTGGTTCGTAGCTGAGGAAGCCAGAGTCAGCTTCATGCAAACCAAAGGCCCCGAGAGATGCCCTTCTGTCCAACAATTTACTGGGTCCATTCTATAATCAGGGCCCTCAAGAAAGAGGTTTGACTTATAAGATTTATTAAGTACAAAATTTCATTAATTAAGGCCTAACAAGCTTAGAGTTTGTGATGCATCAATATTGGCCTGAGCTGTGGAAAAGGAAGGACAGTTAAGAGTCTCGGTGAGACTGCAAGGGCACCGTGGACCAGTCCACGCTACCTGTGGGCACTTTAGGGGCAGCTGCACATACAAATGGCTGGCCCATCACTCGTAAGTCCCTCCTATCTACTCCTTAACATATCCATTCTTTCTAAATAATCAAGTGACTTCAGTTTATCACCCGAGGTCGGATTTATGCACTTCAAGCACTCAGGCGACATGCCTTCCAAAATGTGTTGAATAATCCAGACCAGCATTTCCTGGCCACTGCCTCGACAGCAGGGTTCACTGCACAGGCCGCCACCCTCCTTCACCGCTCTCGGCTTTCATTCTCGCATTTTCACATGTGGTCACCAGGCCTGAAACGTCACTGGCAGCCCCCGACACGCTGACCACACCCAGTGTGTTCAGACTTGGGGCTTCGGAGCGAGGGGCTGTGTCATGTGTGACCCTGGACTGAGTCACTTCCTGCACATCAGGGAGGTTTTGCTCTTGGGCTCCACCCCCTCACCCCCTGCACCCTACCCCCTGCACCCTACCCCCCGCCCCTGCTCGGCTCTGCCACCCTCAGATGTGGGTGTCTGCCCTTCTCCTTGCGCGGTCGCAGCAGCTCCGTGGGTACCCTCCAGCAGTGACCTGGGGCTTTTGTTTTTCCCTGACCCCGCTTCAGGCATCCATCAGTAGTGAAAGGCTACAGTGTAGATGGATGCGGACAATTCTCTCCGACTGCTTTCCACAAACTCTCATCGAGCGAGCGCCTACTGGGTACTAGGCACTGTTAAAGGTGCAGAGGTAAAGCAGATAAAAATCCTGTCTTTCCAGAAGCACCTGGGCTGCGGGGCGGGGAGGGACAGATAAGTATACACACAATTTTGGCCACAAACCAATGTGCTAAGGAGTTACATGCATGCGTTATGGGAAGGACATGAACCGTGTCCTGAGCAGTAGGTCACATTCGAGACGTCACCTCAGGGCTTTAGCAGTCTGGGTTGGGGGGGCGGTGTCGGGAATGGCCAGTACCTGACAGAAATGGAGAAGTCCCCGGGGGAGCTCTGGCTGGCCCGAATGATGAAGAAGCCAACCTCCTTGCCCATGAGCAAGTTCTCTGCCTGGTGCCGCGAGAGGCCTTCGTGAAACCACCTATCGGGTGAGAAAAAACCAGAGGGTCTTGGTGAGATGCCAGAGCGACAGGAGGTGGGAGGCGGGGTGAGACGACCTGAAGGGAGAGGGCTGGGGTCTCTGTCCAGCGGGGAGCAGAGGAAAGTGCTCCAGGCAGTGTTCGGGCGCTGCCAGTGCGAGGCTCCCTCTGTGCCCCAGGAGAAGCCTCCGCAGCTTGGAAAGCCCCGTCAGGGAAACTGCCAACCCGCACCAAATGGGGCAGGGTGGGAGCGACGCGCTGCGGGAAGCAGCCTCCTGCCGGCAGCTGCATGGGGCCTGTTGCTGGGAAAGAACTGCAGGGACATCCGATGGGACCCGAGGGCAGGGTCCCTTCAGTCCCTGGGGGCGGGCGGCCACCTGGCAGAGCTGGGAAGGGCCTTGGACGCTGGCTCAGGGCCCTGCGCTCGTCTTGCTCAGGGCACAGCGGGGGCTGCAAGGCACCCGGGGAGCCTGCAAACACACTTGGAAATGAGCAAAGCCGGCGTCAGCCTGGGAACCACGCCCACACAGCGGGCTGCTGGGCCTCCTCAAAAAATCCAGGCTGTTAAGAATCTTTCTGTGGAAGAGGACAAACTGAGGGGAAACTGCTCTCTCAGAGCTGCGGTGAGGGTGGCAACCTCCGGAAGCGCTGCTGCAGGTGGCCTGTGGCGTGTGGCATCTGAGAAAGACCAGGCTATTTTCACTGCAAGCGTGTTGCCATCAAAATTTTCACCCCACAGCTAACTGGCCATAAGGCAAATTGCCGTTAAAAAAAGTTAAAATCACTAGAAATAGAAGAACGGAAAATTTAAAAGGCCTTATCTGAATATGTTTAAAGTGAGCGTAGCTTCGTGGCAATCATGCTCAGAAGACTGATTTCAGCGTGCGGGTTGTACCCAAGCCCTGGCCTGCGTCCTGTGGGACGTGGGGGATCCGCTCTGCACTCTTAGGGAGGCCCCGCCTCTCCCCCCGAGTCACTGTGCTTCCCAGTGGGAGCAGTCTTTACCGTCTGGGAGAAGCGCTGTTTTAATGCCCCCACCATGTTTACTCTCGCTGGACAGACCTGCAGGAGGGCTGGCTAAGATTTACAGATAACATAGATTATCGATAATGGAACTGCAAGGCCTTGTCAATAGAAAAAAATGAAACCAAACTGACGACTAGCTTAAATGGATTAAGTCTGTGGAAGGCAATTGATCGATTCATCAATGGAGAAATATAAAACCAACCAACCAAACAAAAAAATCAAAATCAAACTGTCAACCAGTTATTTTCTTTTTTATGGCAGTAGATTCATCAATAAAGAAATGAAATTACACCAGAGGGGAAAACCAACTGTCAATTGTCAACCAGTTATTTATCTATTAAAAAAACAACAACAAAATTGGGTTCAGCCAACCAGTCACACTGGGAAAACGCCTGCAGCAAAACGCTTGCAGCAAAGGTACCTACTGCAAAGGCTCCACTACAAAGTACCTGGGATGGAAAACAGGGGCTACAGCCTCAGGGCAGGATGCCAGGAACTTCTCTCAGCCACAGGAAAGCAAAACAAGTGTTTGCAGTCTCTCAGGGCTAAAGGTGGGACTGGGTCCCCTTGCTCCAAGGTGGCCGCCCTAACTGCGGCCACTGGAAGGCGAGCGTGGGTGCCCCTTTAAGGTGAATGTCCAACAGGAACTGCTTGGATTCCTTTGTGAGCAATTCCTGTGTTCTCTGGCATTTGGGAATCTGAGCAGACAGGGTGGCGGGAGGGGTGCCCTTATTCCGGACCAAGGACTGCAGGGGAAGGCTGGTTGGGCTCTGAGGGGCTGGAAGCCGAGGGTCCTGGTGACCACTTGCCTGGAGAGCCTGCCAGAGTCTGTGCCGTACAACCCTGTGGGGGTTTGCTAGGAAATCTAATGGGGGTGGGACAGAGAATGGGACACACCCCATAGCAGCCACACCTTAAAAGGAATGGTGTTAGGAGAGGCAGCAAGCGGTGGCGGGATTGTTTAGAAAACACGCATTTGTCTCCCAACTGCAATTTGATAAGTGACTTTTTTTCCAGGACCTGCCAAGCTGTTTACACACTGCATATGAAATGAGTGGCCAGGGTTTCAATATTACATATCATTCCAAAGATATTTACTCATTCATTTAACAGCTTTTGTTAAGTAAGAAGTGCCGAGCCCTCTTCCGGGCACTAGGGTAAGTGGTGAGCGGAACGGGCAAGGAAAAGAGTCCTGCCCTCCTGGAGCTTACACTGTCACGCGGGGACACACAGTAGGCCACAGGGGAGTTACAGCATATTGTGTGTCAGCTGATGGTAAGAGCAGTGAGGACAATGAAAACCAGGAGGGGGGATGGGGAGGGGGAGTGGGGGAGGGGCTTAAAATAACTTGACAGGGAGGACCTCCCTGGGAGCAAGACATTCTGAAGGAGACTAGGAAGACGAGGAGAAAGCGGCGCACGGGATGGAGGAAGAGCAGCCAGGAGGAAGGGCGTCCCCGAGCCAAGCGTTTCGATGGAAAGGAAAGGTCCCCACATCAAACTGTGCTGAAATGATGGCTGAGAATGCACCAGGGACCCAGTGGTGCACTGTGACCTTGACAGAAAGGTCCTCGGGAGTCTGAGGACTCCAGAGGGAGCGGGAGGAGAGCGGAGATAACAGTCAACAATTCCTTTGGCGAAAGGCAGTGGTGGCTGGAGGAGGATTTGGGATCCAGAGTTTTTTGTTTGCTTTTGGTTTTGGTTTTTGGTAGGATGGGAGAAATTGCAGCATCTGTTTGCCGGCAGGAATGACGGAGCAGAGAGGGGAAGCAAGCCGATGCGGGGAAGAGAGGGGAGAGTTTTTGCTGGAGGCATGGCCCGCTGCAGGAGGTGGGTGGATGCGGTGAGTCAGGGTGGGGGAGGGGCAGAGGGGCTTTTCCGGTCACTCCCACTGTCCCAGGGAACCTGGAATCCAGGCCGCGGGCTGAGAGTGTGGTGGGGGAGGGGATGCAGGTTGGAGGCACAGGGGAGGTGCGATTTCCTCATCTAGAAGGTCACAGGGCAGCATCAAAGGCCCGGTGGGGGTCAGCGTTTCAGCGGTCAGCGCGGGTTCACAGCGAGAGGCCCTGCTGCGCTTCCCCCGCACTCGCCAGCGCCGCTTCGGTTTTCTAGCAAACTTTTGCTCTTTGGGCTGGTCCCTGACTCTTAGACAAGATTAGATTTCAATCTAACCCTTGTGGTCAATTCTTGAGACAACGAGATTCAATCTCAAATTTTCATTTCCTCTTTAGGAAGGGAGTTTCCCTTTTTCTCCCACGGACTTCTGTCTTTGGTGTAAGCACGGTTTAAGGACGGCAGAGAGTGTCCACACGTCCGATCAGGGCCCGGAGCTGTTTGGGGTCCCCGGTTAGCACGGAAGCCAGGTTGGGAGACAAGTGCTTTGAAGCAGCAGCTCTTGAAGTGGGGAGGCCAACAGCTCTCCCACTGGAGTTCTTGGAAACCCTGTGATTACACTTACAGATGATTTCAGTGTATAAACTTGAAATAGGCATATGAACACATGGCATAAAATTCAAGAGAGACTGCAGTGAAATGAAAATCTCTCCCACCCCTGGCCTTCAGCTGCATGTTTCTCTCTCCGGAGGCAACATTTTTGACAGTGCCTTGGGTGTGCCTGGATCATTTTAGTGACTACTGAAGGGGTGAGGGGAGTGTGTGTGGGTAGGCCCCTCTCAGCAGGCTGGAAATACTTACTCAGGAAACTGGATGTCAATAAAATTCTTAGGCACGTATCCTTCTTGGCTTCCAAGCTCTGCCTTGAACCACTCCTCCTGGTTACTTAAGATCTACATAGAAGAGAATAAAGGACAAAGACACCATAGGGAGTACACAGAGAACTAAAGGAAAGAGTCTGCAGAGCAAAGAGTGACCTTTTGGGTTTAGAGAAAATAAACCAAAGAAACCACACGGCTTGCTCTAGTGGGGGAGCAGCAGGGTCATCTTTGGAGTTTAGCTTTTCTTGACCCCAAGCTATTTCTGTGCACAAGTGCCACCTACACATGTGGCACCACCATGGTGTAGCTTCCAAGACTCAGCACTCAGGGGCTTCCCTAAACCCCTTTCTCTTTTTATTTTGGAAGTTTATATGCCTTGGACCTCAGCATCTAAGCTCACCCTCTGGGCTGATGGTGAGAAGGCAAGAGCGGCTACTCCATATTTTTTCTTCTCTGCCACGTGACCAGGAACCTCTTAAACATTTAATTAGTTCTATTTTTTTTTTTTTAAACAAGCAGATTAGCCCTGGCTGGCATAGCTCAGTGGATTGAACACAGGCTTCGAACCAAAGCATCGCAGGTTCGATCCCCAGTCAGGGCACATGCCTGGGTTGCAGGCCACGGCCCCCAGCAACTGCACATTGATGTTTCTCTCTCTCTCTCTTTCTCCCTCCCTTCCTCTCTAAAAATGAATACATAAAATCTTTAAAAAATAAAATAAAAACAAACGGATTAAAACTTAAATGTCCAAGTGGGGCCAGCTTCGAAAACAGTAACTCTTTGTGTTCACACTCCTTACGCATCACAAACAATTCAGACGTAACTGAAGATACCTGGAATGCCTTTTCCAGACTTGCTTTGCAATCCAGGTCACAGACAAAAGCAGCAGTTCTGTCTCATTACTGTATGGTCCTACCTTGACCTTGATTCCAAATGTTATCACCTACCTTGATTACTTGTCTGACTGGCCAGGCTTGGCTTTATGTGACTTCTGGTTATTTCAGCAAATATTTCACCATTGGAAAACAAATACTCGCCCATACCCCACTCTGAGAGTGTTTGTAAAATATGTGGCATGGACTTGAACAATCACTCAGAATGAGGACGGCAGAGCAGAAAGACGGGGAGAACCCTGATGATGCCATTGAGCCACGCAATCAGCCGCCCAAGATGCCCCCCACTTCTAAACTTTGGATGAAAAATAATAAACCGTCGCTACCGTTTAAGCCACGTTTAGTGTCCATTTCTTGTAGCTGAAGATGTCTAACTGACAGAAGTGCCATGATGAAGGGGAAAGCAGAGGATGGACAGGAAAGACACCTGGGAGAGAGGACACCTGGGTCGTCTAGGCAATGACAGGAGTTACCCGGGAGAAGCCTGATGTCAAAAAAACTACTTCTGGGTTATGGGGGAGTGCACTGCCTTCTGGGAGTGAAAAGCCTCAGTCTGGGGGGAGTTTGGATCATGGTTGAGAGGTCGAGAGAGGGGGAATTGGGAATGCCGGCCTTGTGGGCCACGTTGAAGGTTTGGATTTTTATCTTGAAACTGACGGGGAGCCATTGAAGGATGAGCCATTCCAGCAGAGAAACGAGACAGTAGGAATCAGAGTTGAGAAAGAGTGCTGCATCAGAGTGGAAATGGAAAGGAAGGGTCAAGTCAGTGGCGGGGTGGGGGGTGCCGCAGGAGGAGAAACTGCAGGAAGACGACTGACCGTAGGCATCCAGGCGAGAGACGCAGGGGATCTGGGCTCAGAGGAGGTGCGGACATATTTTAGACGAATCAGGAAGCAAAACGGGCAGGATTTCACGACTATTCGTGGAACTAAGGGAGGATGGGGATTCTGGGATGGCTCTGGAGTTCTGGCTTGGGAGACTGAGTGGGAGGTAAAGCCTTTACTAAAATAGAAAACAGAGGAGGAGGAGGAGCGGGTCTTGGGAAAATCTTGCGGCCCCCAGATCGTGCGAGGGTGAGTCCACGTTGCCCCTGGGGCCGTCTGAGAAGGGGAGCCCAGTGAGCAGTGGGGGATGTGTGTCTGGACTTGGGAGTGAGGGTGGGATTTTAGAATCACCGGAAAGTGGGTGAAGTTGAAGCCATGGGCCCCCTGGGGTTCTCCCTCCCAGACTCGAAAGGAGAATTAAAGAGAGCTAAGTAATTGAGAAGCAGTGACGGCCTATTTCTCCTCCTGAGGGGAAAGGAAGGGGACGTCACCGTGAGTTTGGAATGAGAAGACCTGGGTTCTAGTTTGGCCCTGTCACTAGCCGTGTGACCTTTGGCAAGTCAATTGACCATCTGCAAAATGGGGACAGAAAGATGGGCGAACGCCTCCCGGAGCTGATGTGAGGATCACGTGAGCCCTGTGCCCGGGATTCCTTTAGAAAGTGTGCGCTGTTTTTCAAAAACGTAATTCTGTGCAATGTGGTCTCCTAACAAGGGAGGACTCCAGCTCTGAAGGGCACAGAAGGGTTTATCCGTTCTTTAACGTGTTCAGTATGCATGTTTGAATTTAACCACTTGTTCTGAAGAAATAAAAATGCATCCCACATTTGGGTTCTGGACTTGCTGAGAAAAGAAAACTCTGTAGTTTCCAACATCACGTGTGACAGTCGCTGGCGCTGAGGCCCTGTGGGTCTGTGAGTGCTGGGGGTGGGGGGGGAGCAGAGAATCTAGGTCAGAGGGACTAGGAAACTCGGCGCCAGCACCTGGTACGCACACACAGCGCCCGAGGGTGTTTCAGGCCATGCCGTCTCCTGGGTTTATGGCTGCGGCCCTCTTTCCTGCCACCACATGGGAATTCGGAGTCTGGCCTGGGTGGCAGGTGTCAAGTGGGAGAGCGGACGGGGATGGGGTGAAAGAGGCCACTTGGAAACTGGCTCTTCACAGTGAGAACCACACTTTGTGCTCAGTTCTCTGACCTGAAACCAGCTGTAATTTTAGTAATCGTGGCTCACACCCAGCTACCTCCTCAGCAACGGAAAGATTATCTATCGCGCGAGGCTGGCCATTTCTCCCCGCCACCTGGCACTCGGTCTGCCCGAGACTGTGTTCCCAGGGAGGTGAATTTACAGGCTATTTTGGATGTCTAGAAGACACGGTTTTAAAAAATCCATTTTCGGCAAAGAAGAGTATTTGGGGGGAGGCGGTTTCCTCCCGCCGTTGTTGGCACAGGGCCCCTGACTTCCTGTTCTCATCTCTCCATCTGTTCGGTTCCCCTATCTCTCGTCCTCATCACGTCAACCTGAGCAAGGAGTTCAGCCTGAACACATGAGGTTTGACACTTTACCGTATGTATCTTAATTCTCACAGCGCTGCCTCCCAGAACACACTCTCGGGTCCCATGGCCTGAGACCGAGTAAGGTGTGGGAAGAAGACAAAATGTGCGGTTGAGAGAATTTTAAAATTGGATGGAATTACGGCTCTTAGAGGCACAGCAGAAAAGTGAAGGACAGAACTTAATGATGTAGGATTCACTCTTAGTGCTTTTAGGCCCCCGTTTTAGTAGGAAGAAATGGGGTTGAGTGAGATGCATTACAGAAGCAGACAGAAATCAACTGGGTCAAGAGACGTGTTTTGAGATGACTGACGTATCCAGCTGACGCTGCGTGTAGCTGCAGGCCCGCAGCTGTGTGACACAGACACAAGACACCACACTTCTGACCTGGCAACTGTTTCTCTCCCTCAGAAGCAGCAGGATCGAGTCACTGGGCAGGGGTTCCCTGTCCACCGCCTCGCTCGCCATTCTGTGCTCGGCACCTAGTGAGCACCTGCTGTTTGTACTCGGGGGCAGGGAGTGCAGAGGTGAGGCCCCTAAGCTGGGGCCCTGCCCTGGGGAACTCCGGTCTGGAGCGGGTGGGTGGGTGGTGAGCTGGGAGCCATTTCTGTACCCTCTAATGAAAAAGCCGGCTTAGTCTTCCAGTGCTGGGGGCTAAACACAAAAGAGCATCCTGGGAGGGAGTTGCTGGGTCAGTCAAGAGATGGCTTTGAAGACATTTGTGAGGCTCTTGGGGCACGTTACCCCATTCTGGGGTGGGGGGGGACTGACGCTGCACCCTATGGAGAGAGGCCCACAGGCAGGGCCACTAACAACCACAAGGCAGACATTCTGTGAGGCCCGGCCAGAGGCCCCTCTCTGCTTTCCCTTTATTGTAACAATCGCGATGCACAGACTTTGAAAAGAAGGAGTTTTGCCTTCTGATGGAATTCCAAATGAGCATGCAGAGATGCAATTTAACAGTTCAAGAAGTGTGTCCAGGGCACGTGTTTGGGGGCCCTGCTTTGTGTTCAATGCTGGGAAGATGCAAAGTCGACCCTGGCACGGCTTTGCCCTCAGGGAGCTCACAGACCAGTGGAGGAGTCAACCATTCATCCATTCGCTACATATTAGCAAGGGTCACCTTTCTGCTGCTGTAGCCACCGAGGCAGGCCTGGTCCCTGCCCTCACAGAGCTCTGTCCAGTGGCCAACATGTAAATGACAATCAGGATCCCATGGGGCAGGGGCAGCGATGTGAGGTGGGTGTACAGGGTGCTCAAGAGCATGGAGGCTCGGCCTGCCCCTAAATAACTTGTCACGTGAGGCGGGCTCGCGAGTGTGTTCAATGAGGTGTGTGTGGAACGCTGTGGAAGTGCTGAAGATGGAAGGATTCATTTCCCCAGGGCAGTAGGGCGGCGGGCTTGGTGAGGGTTCTGAGGCAGAGGTGGTCAAATATGCGTGTGTGGGAGAAGGGCCCATGGAGGAGGGGGGAGCCCGAGAAAGGATGGTAGACTCAGTGCAGCGTGACCCGGGGGCATTAGTACACAAATTGTGTGCGCGTGCATGTGTGTGCATTCATGCACATGGGCGTGATGAAGCTGGGGTCAGATGGCTTAGATTTTAACCAGCTGGTTATGGGGAACCACTGAAGGCTTCTGAAGAAGGAAGTGGCATGACCTGATTTGTCGTCTAGAAAGCTCCCTCTGGGAGTAGCACTTAGCACGGCTGAAGGAGGAAGACACAGGGGGCGAGGAGGTCGGTCAAGGGGCTGTGGCAATAGTCTGAACAGTCAGAGAGCAGGAGTGAGTAATACTGATAACATGTGGTAGCCACTTACTGAGCATTCGCTTTGGGATGGGGACATTACTTCTAATCCGTTCTACGACCCTGCAAGAAAGGCAGATCCTCCACTTATAGAAGAAGGTGCTGAAGCTCAGAGGGGGCAAGTGACTGGCCTCAGGCCACACAGCTAGTAAGCTGGGATTCAAACTCAGATTTACCTGGCTCCAAAGTTCCCTGCTTCTTTTTACTGCATCAGGCCCCTCTCCAGCAAAGAGGGGGTTGCTCGAGAGATGTCAGGGAAGACACATCTTCAGAGCAAAGGACAGTGTCTGCATGTTAGACAGAGCGCCACTCAAATGCAGGTGGGCAGTGTCACATTCTACAGGCATTTTGGTACGGTCCTTACATTCCACACTAAGGACATCATCAGTGGATTTGAAGGGAGAACTGGGGGTAAAAGTCAGATCCCAGAGGGTTCCTGTGGGATGAACCGGAAGGGGGGCAGTGGAGGTGCCCAGCAGAGAGGATCCGTCCCAGTACTGGCAGCAGAGAGAGGAAAGGAATTGGAAGCTGGATTGAGAAGCAGAGTTGAGGAAAGTTGTTGTTGTTGTTTAAAACTTTTCTAGGGAACAGGGAAAACTTAAGTAAGATGATAGATTCTGTCTGCAATGGGAGATGAGGGGTGGGAGTTGGCTCCTCCCCCACCGTAGAGTCACATGTTCACAATACCCCGTAAATTAGGGAAAGACTGGTCACCAAATGGCAGCTCCCTCTGTGATCTTGGTAAGGTCCCAAAGAAATTGGGATCTTCTCCTGGGTCAGGAGCCCAAGGACATTTCGATTTTGAGAGGCTCCAACATTGAAGGCACACTTTTTGCAGCCGCATTATTAGATCTTGCAAGGCGAGAACAGTTAGGAGGATAAATACTAGGGGTGTTCAAGCTCCAAACCAAGTCATCACCCGGTTTACGCTCCACAGACTCTGAGTCACCCTCTCACATACTGACAAGGTTCTTCCTACAACAAGCGTAATTTTCAGTGGTGAGGCAGTGGTGGCCTCGGTGCTGCTGGGCTGGCCATGTGGGCTGCTGAGGGCCAGGGATAAGGAGGTCCGAGGGGCCTCTGAGGACGGTGTGGGGAGTGTTGGCATCACAGACTCCTCGTGCCCTCTTGAAGGGCTCGTGCTCTTTTGCACAAAACCAGGGCTAAGATGCAGAGTCTGTGAGTGCGGGGCATGAAATCTGGGAGAGGTCCAAGGCCTCGTCAGTTTAGCAAGTGGCCAGGCCACCACGGCTCAGGTGCAGGCTGGGTGTGCGTGGCCTTTGTTGAGTTTCCTCCAGCTGCCTTTCCTGGGCTGGCTCCACCACACCCTCCTCTTGTAAGTCCTGGCCATGCTGGATCTGACAGGGCTCACAAAATTCTGCACGGGCTTGCTCATGTCCAAGCTTTTGCTAAAAGTCCAGCTCACCTTCATTACACCCCGAACAACCGGTGTTGCCACACGTGCCTACAGACCCATCTTTCAAGGTGGGATCGCTCGCCTCCTCCCCTGTGCTTCCCAAGCTCTCAGACGAGAACACCTGTAACAGCCCTTCGGGCGCATTTGTTTCCCTCAAGAGACCGTGAGCATCTCAGGGCAAGGATGGCAGCTCGTGCCAACTGGGCTTCCATCACCTGGCCTGACAGCTGGCACACCGGTGCTGGAAGGAGCCCTTCTGATGGAGGTAAACTCCTTTTTTGAAAGGAACTGTGTATAGTTCTCAAGAAACAAAGGAAGGCTTGTTAGATTAACTCGGTGAGCAGAGCAACCTAAACTCCCCGTGGAGGCCCTGCGGCCCAGGTCACCTACCTTCAGGATATCTCCGGTGTGAAAACTCAGTTCATCTTCGCCCGAGGCGGTGAAATCAAACTTGGCGATGGCTTCCATGTTGTAACGCGAAGCTGGAAGAAAAATAATGTGGTCATTGTGCCTTTCTGCCAGGAGAAGGGTGGCAGAGTGGGTGGTGCTGTGTAGCAGTCGTAGCGGTTGATAGGCGAGGGGTCGAATGTCTCCAGGCCAGAGAGAGAGGCCCAGGCGCACAGCGAGAACTTTTGTTTTTGAGAAGGGCTGCTGGAGCCGTGAGCACCTGCTTTCTGGCACCTTCCTCTGAATCCCCAGATGCCAGGAGCGGACAATGAAAGGCAGGCTGACTCTCCTTTCGTCTCCCTTTGCCTGTCACCATTGCTGGGGCATCTCCGTGTCTGGGTCACGGGGAAAAGACTTGCTTTCATCTCTAACTTGAGGCCTGGGGCAGGGGGGTGGGGCTGGAAAGGCTGTTTTGTACCACGGTCCCAAGGCTGCCCCTCGGCAGCTCTGTCTAACCGCGCAGTGTTAGTGACACAGACGCTATTGTCTCCTTTGCATCTGAATCACTTCAGGGAATTGAACAGCGTTGGCCAGTGGGGAACTCCAGGGCCTTCTGCGTGGTTTGGGAGTAGAAAGCACTCTGGTTTTCGAGTTGGCAGGCTCAGCAGGTCAGCTCCCTTATTTATCTTATTAATGTGGTAGAAGCCAAGTACAGTTGAAAACTTTTCATTTTATTACTTCCAAATTGAGTTACAATACTGACCCCTCCTATTACTGGATGAGACTTGTGTAAGATAAACAGGTCAGCCTACAAATGAGATAGAGGTTTTGGTTTTAGGAAATACTGGGGCTGTAAGAGAGAGCCGAGACCTGATCTTGTTGGTGAATAGCGAGCTATACAATTTTGTGCAAGTAATTAGACCTCTTGGAGTCCCAGTTTCCTCATCTGTAAAACGGAGGTTGTAATAGTCGACTAATGAGGAAGTGAAATTCAATGAAATAATAGAGGCAAAACGTCATAGAGGATCAAGCTAAGTAGCATTTTTGTTTTAAAATAATTTGATGGGGCTAATTTATCCTCAGCAGAGGTACAGCCTGGCTAACAGCAGCCCAAGTTTCCTTCTAATTTCTCTCGTCTCCTAGAAACTTTTCTCAGTGACATTTGGTGCCTGTTCTCCACGACCCCCAACCCCTCGGCCCTCCGCTAAGGCGGCTTACTGTCGGGACACAGCCCGGAAGGCTGTTGTTCAGTGTTCCTGTTTTGCAAAATTTGCCTAAGTCCCAAGTCCTTTAGAGTAGTAACCCCCAAACCTAATTGACTTTCAGTGACCAGTAAACTGGAACTACAGTTGTCCCCCCTCAGTGGAGATTTCTGCCCAAGTGACAGGATCTGGGTAAATAAGGACGGTGGCCACCGGTGGCCGGGCGCAGCGGCAGAAATCCGGGGATTAAAGCCGACTGCAACAGCGGTGATAGCAACGGACGCGTTTCCTTGATTTTCCACATTTGCTTGGTCGTCCAAAGGCAATTTGTAGAGATGAATATTACCCATCCCAAAGATATTAAGCAAAAAATATTTCAGCAGCCAAAGCAAAATGTCATCACTAACTGTCTGAGCTTACTCACCAGCCAAACCTACCCTCCCCCCAAAAGTATACTTTTTGTACACTTTCTTCAAGACCTGTCCATCTAAGGCAAATGAAAATTTCTGTGACCCAGGATGACCCACTCAACAGGAAGGCAGACTCTGCCCTCCTTAGTGAATGCTAAATGTCTTGGCTGATTTGATTCACCCCATTACTTTAACATGCAAAGCGTCCCCTAATTAAGGCCTTGCCTCTAGTTGGCACCACATTAAGATGTGGTATCTGTGGGTCATCCTTATGGTGTCAACAGTAGACACTGGTCGCCTCAGGAGATCAAGTGTCAGGTGAATGGTCCTGAAAACCAACATCCCATTTCTATGCAAATTTAGCTTAATAAACAGAAGGGAGACAAGGGGAGGGCCATGCTAAACATATTAGAAAGTCACATAAATTAGAGATGAAAAGAATATTAAAGGCATGCTCTAGATAATGACCTTGAGCTTGGGAAGCTATTTCCTATATTCCATGTAATTCAGATCAGGCCTTGGGTCAGGCTGGCTGTGAGTCACTTCGGCGAAAGGGCCGAGGCCGAAGCCGAGCTGCGTCTGAGCGCAGGTGCTCTCCTCTGCCTTCCCCCCGGGAGGCAGGTGGCGCGGCGAAGCCAAACACACAAGCACATCACAGAGCTCCCCAGCTTATGATATTAATCCTGGCTCCAAAAACCCAATTAAACAGGCCTACTCTTTATGAAATCACTTTGAAAATATTTGTTTGCATCCCGTTTCCATTTGCGAAATGAAATCTGTTCAGAGGCCGTTTGGTAGGAGGAAGATGTTCAGGGTGGAGCGGGGTGCGCTCTGTTTTTGGTCAAATCGCAGGGCTCTGCAAGTTCTTCCCTGGAATTCCCCATTCCCTGCTTCCCGAACAGCAGAGGAAGGTAAACGTGCCACCCCTAGGGGTCAGTCTCCCCTTTGATCACAGAATTGCATAAAAATTTATATCCCATTCCTCTACAGCCATTAGTTTTTTTTTAATCTTCACCTGAGGATATGTTTATTGATTTTAGAGAGAGAGGCAAGGATAGAGAGAGGGAGGGGGGAGAGACAGACAGACATCAATGTGAGAGAGAGAAACATCTGTCTGTTGCCTCCCGCACGTATCCCATGTGCAGGTCAAACCTGCAACCCAGGTATGTGCCCTGACTGGGGATCGGAACTGCAACCTTCAGGTGTTCCGGATGACACTCTAACCAAATGAGCCACCTGGCCAGGGCCGTTAGTTTTAATTTTGAAAAGTTTAAAATTGCCACCATGGAAAAAGAAAACTGAACTATAGTTTATTCAGTATTTGTCTATTGTTTTGCCATCTATACCTTCCAACACTGCATACTGCATCTGGGGAACAAAATATATACGATGGAGATGAAACATGGTAGCAACAATGTCAAGACAGAAAAGAGGAGAGAGAGAGTGAGAGCGAGCGAGAGCGAGCAGTCGTCTCTACAATTCGAGAACGCAGCGGCACCTTCTCGATGCTGTTTGCAGTAACGGTGTTTCTGACCTCGCGGGTAGATGAAGACAGGGCCTCCTATTCAGAGAACCTCCCAGATGGACTAGATGTGGTTTTTCTGCCAGTGATCAGCTTCAGAAATGGCTACAATGCTACCTGCCACAGGATGTGAGTGAGAAGTGACCGGATCCAAGGGCAGCGAAACCACCCCCCGCAGCCTCCCGGCACCCACCCCGACCCAGTGACAAAGCCATTTGTCAAGAAATCCCACCTCAGAACCACGCGCAGGGCCCCTGCCCCTACCGCTCCCTCTGCTTCTCACCAGCCCTCTGCCACGCTCTCACTCCCCCTCATGAACTGCGCGTAATACCCATCAGCAGCCCTGCGACACAGATGTGCTCCACCACAAGGCAGCCAACCCCCCACAGGACTGCCCGAGGCACGATTTTCTCTGCCCTTGCATTTCCATTTAAGCTTCCTTTACCGGTAAAAGGACCTGAAAAATATTCAGACTATATACCAGGAACACTTACCTACTTCTAAAACACAGTCACCACAGAGGATGCAAACAGAAGCCATGAGACAGTCCTTTAAAATATCCTTAATTGGTGTCATTTACCTAGATCTGAATACCTGTCACACATAATGTCAACACACACAGAAATTTTTGTGTAAATGCAGTTGATGAAGTGTCTCATCGCCTGTATTTTCGAATGCCGCTCTAACGACAAAGTCATATGATACGACATTGGTTAGATTGTGTAAGGAGAGCTCTGACACCAGAACTCGCAGCCTTTTCCCTCCTTCCTTCAGCAACTCAGTATCTGGAGCCATTGCTAATTTTTTTTTAAAATCCAGAAGGTATATAGAAACCGTTTCAGATTTTTCCTCTGACTCGTTCATGCAGATGTAGTTCTATCAAAATACCTCATCTTTCCTTATGGTGTTTGTTGCAGAGGCAGACACTTCTGTATTTAGAAATTTCGATTTCAGTTCATTAAAAACTGTAAAACCAATCTGTATCATGTACCAAACTGATTTAAAATACAACTACATGTTTATGGAAAAAAAAGCATCCTTAATGGAAAGCCAGATTAAGTGAATGTGTTCAGAGACACATAGTTACCGTCAGAACGGTGCCAGGCAAGAAACTTCTTGAAAGATGTCAGCTCCTCCCAAGTGGGCTATGAATAGCCAAGGGTTCTGTTTTATGCGTCTCTTAAAAAGAGCAATTGCATAACATCAGAAAGCTGTTTGGAGATTCAGGCTCAGGACCCATCGTAAGAGGGAGCCTGAACTGAATCAGTGGCACCGCTTCCTATTTTTCTGGGGAGAGTTCTGATCTGAAGATTATATGACTGTCCCAGTTCATGTTGTAAGTCGGCTAAGATAGTGCCTCGGGGGCAAAAGAAGAGAGAGAGAGAGAAGCATTGCTCCTTCTAAGTACAGTTGACTCTGGAACAACGTGGGGGTTAGGGGTGCTGACCCCACACTCAGTCAAAAACTTGTATATAACTTGACTCCCCGAAAGCTTGGCCGTCCCTTGGTATCCTGGGGGGTTGGTTCCAGAACTCCCACAGATAAGACAATCCGAGGTTGCTCAAGTCTCCTAACTGAAAGTGATGTACACGGTAGGCCCTCCACCTCTGGGCACTCCCAGCCTCAGACTGAAAAGAGCACAGGTATTTATTGGAACAAACAAACACACAAACAAACAACAGACCCACACATAAGTAAGCTGGCACAGTTCAAATCTGTGTTGTGCCAGGACCAGCTGTATTGCTGCTGGTAGCCTATTTATCAGGACATTAGCAACAAATGTAATTTTTATGAATTTATCCTGTGCATGAAATGAAGTGATAGAATAGCGAGGAGTTAACATTTTGGGATTTTGGCTGTAGCTATGAAGAGGAATCTGGCTAAAAATGTGAAGGTACGCCAACCACTGAACTTCACCTAAGGCAGACACTCGGACCCACAGGCTTTCTGTTGGTCAGGCG